GGATTGGGAGCTGATGATCTACGGAAATCCGATTATGAGCTCTTCGTGCAGGAGTGCTTGTCGGAGCGGGGCATTAATGGATTGGGGGATCTTTGGCCTGATGTGGCTTACTTTGAATTATATATAGGGGTTCGATTATGCTTGAACTGCGATATGTACCCTTCCCCATTGATCCCGATCCGAGGCAAAAGCCATCGATGTACTTATGTATATGTCCAAATCAAAATCCTTGGAGCTCCCTGGAAATTGGGTATCCTGGCTTATTATGTCATAAAGAGTACAAGAACCCCGAAAATTCACAAATATATCTCCTGCTGGGATCCCAGGCCAATGTGCTCTCGATGATCGGCTTGGGTGGCTGAACCTGGGCTTTGAGCTCTTGATCATAATTAAAGGGGGTAGTTTAGGCTACTGCCAGCTACAATGGCCTATGCTGTGTGCTAAGCCAGCTGGCCGTGAATTCTTGTGAAAGCGCCGTGAGAAGTAACCAACGACCGTGAACCCAGCGTGAAAAATGTGAGTTCACGCGGAGCCTTTTTGCTGAGTGTCCTGGATGCACGTTCATGCGAAATCACGCTTCTTCACGTTGCTTAAGTTTGGCAAAGCTGTTGGGTGTGAATTCTGATGTTCTTTTTCACGTGACTTCACGTGTTGGGCCCTAGCTGCCAATTTAGCAGTACGTAGTTTGTGCTAGAGCGCAATGGGAAAGAAGAGTGCGGCGGCGGACCCGCCGGAAGTGGCTGATGTTATGGCTATGCTTCAAAGCAAGGGATTGCTAAAGCGTGGTGCTTCAGAAGCCCCAGCAGCTGAGCGATCTCAGAAGGAGCTTAAGGTTGAGACCCGAGCCCGGAGCAAGCGCAAACAGGCTGATGCCAAAGCAGAAGCTGAGAAGCCCGATGAAGAGAAGCCCCCGAAGAAAGGGAAACCCAGCAAGGACCAAGCCGGCAAGAACCCCACCGAGAAGCAGGAGGAACCCAACAAGGAGCAGCCGCAGGAGAAGAAACCCAGCAAGGAGAAATCCCAGGAGAAACCCGGCAAACCCCCCAAGGAGCCGAAGAAACCCAGCAAGGAGCAGTCCCAGGAGAAACCCAGCAAACCCACCAAGGAGCCGAAGAAACCCAGCAAGGAGCAGTCCCAGGATGCCACTAAGGATGAGGCATCTGCCGATGAGGATCTGGGTCCGTTCGAGGAGTTTCCACCTGAGAAACCCGGGGCTTGGGGCGAGGAGTTCTTCGAGACGGGGCTTAATGTCGTGGTGAGCTGGAAAAACTTGGATGATGTGTGGCGAGCTTGCAAGGCTTCCGACAAGCCGATGTACAGAGACATGCAGTACGATGCACTTGTGCAGATGATGGAAAAAGCTCTAGGGGCTCGTCCTCCAACACAGGACCCGGGTGCCTCTCTTCAGCAGCAACCTCAACAGCCTGTGGCATCAGCAGTTGACCAGCAACAAACACAGGAGCAAGAGCAGTCTCAGGAGGAAGGTGATGACGAGGAGCAAGACGACCAGGAAGGGGAGGAGGAGGAAGCAGAAGAGGATGAGGAAGAGGAAGAGGTGGAGGAAGTGAAGAAACCGCTTCCTAGCAGTTCTAGCGCCAAGCCACCGCCTGAAACCACAAGCCCGCCGAAGATCAACACGTGGAATGGCATCCCCAGCCCTGCAACGAAGGAGAAAGCCCGCTCCGAGAGCCCCGAACAGGCCCGTCACAAAATGCTTTGTTCTCACTAAAGCCCTAAAAGCCTTAAAGGCCCTACCTAAAAACCCTAAAACCCTAAAGCCCGAAAGTATACATGTTGTTGCCAAATCTTAATGACTCCTGTATAGAGGCGAAGCCAACAGACCTGAACAACAAGTTCAATCGTGTACGGCGGTCGAAGTCCGAACAGCCCCCGTGCTTGCAACAATCGGTCCTTGATTGTTTACATGCAACCGATGACTTACATATTCAATCGAAGTGTGCACTGCATCGAATGCATTGATCAACTGAGGTCCCTGAGTACTTTGGTGCTGGGTGCCCACCTCACCGATGAGCAGGCATACGGGAGTCGTCCAGCCTCGGAGGCTGGTGCGGTTCCCGCGGAGGATCCGCATGAAGGGTGTCATGCACTGCATGCAGTTGTTCTACTATGTACTTTGCCTTGCATGCTGCCTGCCGATTTAATTAAATCCCCTGATGCAAGAGCGATCTGAGGTTGGTGAGTGCATCTCAAGCAGGCAGCGACAGCGAGCTACGAAGTCTCGTGGCAACGATGCAGTCAGAGATCACTAGGCTGAAGGCCATGCTGGCTACGAAGGATGCGAACCCGGGAGCCCCGCCGGCCACACCGCCGGCCGCACCGCCGGCCGCACCGCCGGCCCCGCCTGCGAAAGCCTCGGTTAAGCACGAGCAGAAGGAGTCGGATGGGGAGGATGAGAACGGGGAGGAGCATGAAAGCGAAGAGGAGGATGATGAAGAGGAAGAGGAGGGGGATGAAGACCACGAGACCCCGCCACCAAAGGGCAAACCGCCTGCCACAACCTCTGTGGCCAAGACCAACAAGCCTAAGGGGCCCAACTCGTCGACCCACCGTGCTCAATGGATGAAGTTCGGTCGGCGAATGGACAGCAAGGGCTCGGAGTTCCCCGAAATGACTAAGCTGTGGACCGGAAGCAAAGACGAAACCTGTCGAGTTATAGCATGCATGCTCATCTACATCTCGAGTGTATAGAGATGTGCACCCTAGCCGAGGAACAGCACGAAGTGTTCGCGAAATGGCTCGAGGAGGGCGAGAACATGAACAACACGGAGGCCCAGCTGATCATCACCAAGACGAAATCGGCCGAGGTGAAGAGTGGCTATGAGGAGCTCACCGTGAAGGAGATGGTTGCGAGAGGATTCAGTGCGAACCCTGATTGCACTGCAATGTTTGCAATATTACTATCAATCCTTTACACACAACACTCTGAGATGCTATTGCCTCCTCATCTAAGGACAAAGATCGAAAGCATAGTCAGAAAGGGTGGAACCCCTGACCCCGACGCCCCTCACTGCCTCGAATCCATCGTGTATGTTTGCCGGAAGAAGAAGAACGTGGAAGAATCCGAAAAGGTTTCCCAGACCGGCGAAATCAAGTCGAAGATGAAGGCCAGTGCCAAGGCCGTGGCCCCGTTGATGAGGTTGAACGGAATGCCGGGGCCTGGATCGACCTCGGGCGCCACCGATGCAGTTTTGCAGCTTGCTGCGAACGCTTTTGCTTCGGGCACCGAGTCAGCATTGAGGGGCTAGAGGTAAAGGTTCCACGCATGCACGGTTTGGTGGTGTACTCCTGCTCTACCTGATTCTACGCACCGAGGATCGGCCGACGCCAACGCCGCCGCCCCCAAGAGGAACCCGAAAAGCAAGGCCAAAGCCAAGGCAAAAGCCTTGATCCAGGCGCCCAAGACACCCAAAGAGCTTTTGGATGAATGCCGTGTCTCGGTTCGTCTTAACCACTGGACCCTCAAAGCCCCCATACAAAAACCAATCAAGCTTTTCCCAACTCAGGCAAAGAGCTGAAGAAAGAGTACAACGCCGCGAATATTTGCTACGACCTGCCGAAGGACCATGCTTTGCGCAAGGACATGGAAGGCAAAAAGGGCGATCTGGAAAACCGGCTGGATGAGCTACCTAGCTGCCTACATACCCAACCCCAGCTGTAGAAGCTCTAAATAATCACGCATGCATTGGCTACACTACACTTATACATAATAATGGGGTCCCATGATCTGAGGCTGAGGAGTGTGGCGGATGATGATGCCGAGGATTTCGTCGACGAGTGCAAAGCACTGGCTGCTAGATTGCAATCTAAACAGTATGTGCACCCCTTTAGAAGCCAAGCCCGAAACCCTTATGCCCACCAAGGTCGAAAACACCCGGATGGTGCGAGCACAGGTCCGTGCTGTGGCAGCTGAGCTCCAGCGCAAATCTGCTTCGGAGACCAAGTAGAACAGTCCTGTGTGGGAGGACTGTGGGGTCTAGGGCACACCGCTTCTGCATCGAAGGTTGTACGTATGGCTGGATAATATTCTTCAGACCCAACAAATCATATGAACCGCTCGACCCTTTATGACTTCGTTGTGGGGGATAGCCTGTGCCCCCTAGCTGTGCTTTTGAAGCAGGGGTGATGGTACCTAGATATGTGCCATAGATTCCCTCGGCTTGCTATTGGAGCATACGATAACGATCTGAACATGCTGGATAGCCCAGTGTGCTGTGCTCGATGCCACAAGATCGTGACCTCAAGACTGCTGCAAAAAAAGCATTGCATTGGCACTTTGTACCGCTAGCTGCATGTTGTGATTATGAGCTGAACCCAATGTGTGAACCCACGCAGGTTCAGAGATTTCTTCGATACGAGATGAGGTGGATCGGGTGTTACTCGGCTTTTATGGGGTTAGACCGGCAATGATGTAGTGTCTCTCACAAGCTCAGGCTGGCAAAAACCATTGGACGTGGCTATGCATCAGTCAGGCATGCTGCAGAGATCGGTGCTGCGGTGGGCAGCAACCTCTTGAAATCGATGCATGGTTTAAACTTATTGACTTAATCTGAAAGTTACGTTCAAGCCCGAGCACCTCCGCATACGATGATCGTCGTTCGTTGTGTCGAACCTCAGGAGCAAGGAGCAAGGACTTCATGAACGAGCCGCTAAGCAGGGGCTGGCTTTGAACTGCGAGGTGTCACAGGTTTCTCTGCCGATGCTGGATGATGACAAAGTAGTCTGGCGAGACTGGCCGATGATATTGCCGCACAACTTCGAGCTTAGACTGCAGCTAGCTGGGTTATGCTAGTGTGTACTTCTGATATGTAAATAGTACACGCGAATTAATCAAATAAGGTTGCTGCAATGGCCCGTCATGGTCATCTTGATATGCTGGTGGCTGACTGGGATATGGTTCCCGGCTACTGGACAAATTTTCTTCGCGAGTACCCCGGGCACCCTGCAAGGGATAAAATGAGCACCTCCATACCATGCACCCTCTACACCGTTTGGGTCCCCCAAAAGGATTGTCTCGAAGTTTGAGCCGGGCGGGTGGGCCGGGGGAAAAGTTGTGTAACAAAATGAAATGGAATTTTCTCCTTTGTACAGCTTCCGATTCTTGAGTGACTTGCCATATGCAGTTTGGCATTCGCAATCAACTTGAGCATCTCGTGGCCGGTTTGGATCCAGAAAAGTTTGTGAGTGGGGGGGCGGTAGACCGTTGGCTCAGCAATGGACTGGGCTACGCGCTGGTATGCCTCCAGGGAAGAGGCTCGCAGACTGGCGTGGTCTAACTGCTGTGAGTGAAGATCTGGCATGCGAAGTGCAGAAGTGTTATCATTCTTTGGTACAGTTTGACGGCGCTTTTGAAGATGAGGCAGGTGCTGCAGTGGTGGTTGCTGAACTGCTGGGAGATAAGAAGCCATCAGCGGAGGTGGATCGTATTTCTACATCACTTTGGCAATGGCGAGAGAAAAGGCAGCGGCGGGAGCCGCCAACATCTCGCTTGTTACAGAAAGCACTGCCTGAATTGCCAGTACAGGTGCCAAGGCCTGGGGTGAGCATGCAAGATGTCTTTGATGAGGTCGTGAGCACGACGCCGGCTGTGGCAATCGCCTTGTTGCAGCGAGCAGTGCGTGTGAGCAAAGGCGGCGGGAATCGCGAGGAATTGGAAGCTCAGCTTAAGGAGCGGTGGGCACTTGAACTTGTGAGCTACATCAAAGAATCTAAGCTACCGTGTGCGGCCCGGATGGAGGCCCTGGGCGATGGAAGCCGGCAGTGGCTACGTGTGTTTGGGAGTCGCAGAGGGAAGACTTTGCGAAACCGAGCACGGGCATGGAAACCACTCCGGGACTGGCTGGTGGCATCGTATGGCCAGACATGGCCGACTTCAGCAGCGATGGTCTTGAAATACCTGGAGGAGAGGCATGGCACAGTGCCTCTGGGAAAGACTGTTCCGAGCTCGATCATGGCGAGCTTGTCTTTGCTGGAGACGGTGGGAATGGTCGCTTCGGAAGAGCGGCTGAGCGAGGACCCCTTACTGATCGAAAGCGTGAGATCCTGGACTGCAGAGCTGGAGGCAGGGGGCCCAGCCGTGAAAGCAGCACCACTGTTGCCCATTGCAGTGATCCTTGCTTGTGAGATGGTAGTGTGTCGTCCAGTATATGAGCTGGGACTGCGCTTTACGGCTTTCGTCTTGTTGCTTATGATTTGGGCAAGCATGCGATGTGACGATGTTCAGAACATTGATCCGGAAAGCCTGAAACTTAGCCAAGTGGGCCTGCGCTTTGTACTTCGCAAGACCAAGACCAGCGGTCCGGGCAGGAAGGTCGGGGAACTTCATGGTTTTGTTTCTCGACTTGCTGGGTTGAGTGGTTTTGATTGGCTTGGGGAGGGAGTGAAACTCTTGAACGGCGATTTGCTCTCCTGGTCACGTGATTTCTTGTGTCCCGCCTTTAGCAGCGAATGGGATGTGCCATCAAGAGGCTACATGGATGCGGAAGGTCTGGCCTTGCAGCTGCGCCGACTCCTTCAGCATTTGCCCACTCCCGTGCGGCAGCAAGGGGTTTGGAAGGTTTCGCGTGAGTTGCTTTTCCAAGGGGCAATCGTCACTTTCTGGACAGGGCATAGTGCGAGGCATGTGTTGACAAGCATTGCAGCAGCGCTCGGAGTCAAGAAGGACCAACGAGATTACCTTGGGCGTTGGGCCTATGCGCAGCATGGGTCCCAGGACTATGTGCTGACCTCTCGCCAGGTCGTCCAGGGGATTCAGAATTTCGTGTGCAAGTGCTTACTTACGGGCAGAGCCGAGGGAAGTTACTCCGAGGAGGAATTGTTCTGCGAACTGCATGCATTTGCGGAAGCCTCTGGAGCGAGTGGTGACTCTGTAGTTCGGGCTTGCTCAGTTCTTCAATGGGATGATGCTGAGGGCACTTGGAAGCTGGGCGGTGCTTTTCCTTGTTTGAGTGTGTCGCCTGAGAGAGTGCGAGCTGCCGCAGGCGACATGGAAGCTTCGTTGCCAGGAGCATATCAAGATTTCGATGCGGAGGTGGATCAGGACGAGGCACCTTACTTCATTACGGTGTCCAGAAAGGGCTTTCGTCGCTTGCATCTTTCGAAGAAGTGCGCAGTGCGGCGCGAGAATTGTCTGGAGACCATCCCGATTTTCAAGCTTTCGGAGGGGATCGCTGATGCAATGTGCAAGCTCTGTAAGCCTGGGGCGGATCAAGCAGAGGGTTCGTCGACCAGTGGATCGGAGGAAACACAGGCAGATCCAGGGGAGCCGGGCAACCCCGTTGCAGAGCTCCCAAACTTCGCTGAATGAGCGATGTGACATTGCTGCTTGTGTTATGAAAAGAATGAAGGTTTGCATCCGCTGCGGGTGGAATGCAGCTGTAGTGAACAGAGTGGCTGCGGGTGGAGTGCAGCAGTAGGCATTGATCAGGCTGTCGGTGGAGCACAGTCACTTGCGATTGATTGAAGATGCCGGTGGAGTGCATCAAGTGCTGAATCTGGTTGTTGCACGTTGTTCAAGTGAGGGAATGAAGGTGTGACTTCATGGCTTGACTTCTTAGGAACTTGTTCTTCTTTGCATGTGCTAGGAGCATTCTCTTCCTCTGCGCGATCATGGCAACCGGGCTCCCAACGGGAATCGATCAGGCTGCTGCGATGGATTTTCTTGATAAGAATGTCAGCTCTGATTTGGTGCACATCTTTCAAGAATGTGGTGTGCCATTGGGGCTGCAGTACCGGCTTTCTCAGAATTTCCAATCGGTGAAGCGTTTTTCGACTATGCAGATTCGAGAGCTGATGTACGGACTGCGCTGAAAGATGATCATACCTTGGAGGCGACGAATCAGGAGACGCGGGCGGCAGTCGCATCAGTGGTTTCTGCTTGGGAGACTTCGAAGGAGTACGCGAGCAAAGAATCGGAGTTGCGGGCGGAGGCCCGCATGTTGGGAGTGAACAGGCCTGTGACTCAGACTGAGAAGCAGGCCATGAGAGTGGCTTTCGAAGCAGCGCATGGAACCTTGGAAGAGTCCTTCGAGCCGTCAGATGATTACATTTCGGCAAAATTAGAGGAGATCGAGAATGGGGAAGTTTCGGCAAGTGCACTTTCGGAAGTCACCTCTAAGAAGAGAGTCAAGACAATGGGCATCCAAACAACAGTGGACACAGGCGGGCATGTGCGGATCGTGAAGCAACGGAACAAGGGCGTGATGCCGCAGCATACAGAGGAGCTGCGTACAGTCTTGCGTGTGGAAGG